ATGAGACGCCACAAGGACAGCGACGTTGCTCATACAGTGTGGGCGACGAAGAAATGTTGATGGTGTTTGCCGGTGTGAAGTGCATTGACGTATTTTATGATCCTAAGGACATACGATAATTATTTTATTGGGTTCTTACCGAATATTCTCCGGTCTGCCTCCAATGATTCGTTAGGGGGTTGATCACATAGTATGTTGGTTTCCGGCAAATGGCACGAGTACAGTAGCATTCCAAATGTCAGTTTGGACCACTATACTGTGATTTGCTTATAGATATTCGTTTACAGAGAAACTTAGGCAACGGCCTGTCCTGCCGAAAGCTACTGGGAAAATCAAACGTCGTCTAAACGCCATGCATGGTTCGCTTGCAGATCAAAAATGGACACCTCGATAATGCCAAGCATAGGCTCTGGTTAGCTTTTTAGCAAAGTACATTTTACAGAAAGTGGGCTCTGTTTATTCTTCGTGTTACATATAATACGTCGTGCAGTTGGCTGTACTTGATTATTTAGATTTAAGATACTACAGTTAGACTCCTCTGTCTTACAAATTAAACCTTTTGTACATAAATATGTTTAGTGTTCGAACATTAGAAGCTAGTGCTTCTATGCTGTGACGTCCCCGGTGAGGACGCGGGTTTACTCTGCTGCTCTTTGAACACGTCTACTCGAGGAAGGGTACAGCGATTTTACCAAATCTATGTCCATTTCCATCGTCACTCGCTCGTTGCTGTCGTTAACCCTGATTGACCTCTTTTCTCTCAGTCCTCGGCACCGCAATGTGTTAATAATTTATGGCATATTTGAGAATATAGTGTACTGTTTATACTTATTCAGCGCTTTTGTAGCAGCGGAGAGGGACTGTTATTAAAGAGTATCTGAAGGCATTGAAGGACGTCAGAACGCTGCTTTTTGGTAAAAAAATATCTGAACAGGAAGTATAATATTTAGTTAACGGATGGACGCCTGCACTGGCGCCAGAGTCCATCTGGAGCCACGTCTATACGTTCTCAAAATATCATCCCTGAATATTTTATATTATGTGTAACATTTCATTTGGCAACTGATCCATCGTCTCACGTCTCCCTGCCCCCCGATCCAAACGCCAATACTAACCCTAACTTCAAACTGAATCCTAAGCCGAGCCCTGTTCCAAGACTTTCGTTAAAATCAACCCTAAACCTAACTCCAGCTCCATAGCGAACCCAAATTCTGAACCTGACCTTGACCATTAACCTTGCTCTAGTCCTAAAGCTATCTAAAAACCTTGTTCCGAATATGGCCCCGAACCTAACGCATAACCTAAGCCGATCTCTGGTCCTAAACGAAATCCTTAGCCAATCCCCAACACTAGACCGAGCCCTAAACCTGAACTTTGTCCTTACCTTGAGAAATGTACGCTGATAGCCTGCAGATATGATGGGAGGCCAAGCCCTTGTTCACATATACGCGGGCGGGTTTTTCCATTGTGGCGAGGATTTTGGCGCGACTGCTTGCCTTTCTATTTTGGTACGAGTATGTTGAGATTCAGTCTCCCTTCCCCCGGCGGCAGTCCCCAGCTCCACCATTGCCGAACACCTGTAAAATTTTTGTGTCTCCCAATAGACTGACCCTACGAATACTTGTGCGAGATAAAGAGTCCAGTGTCTTCCATAATAAATTTTTCATTGTTTTCACAAATTCTGTTATCATACGTCTGGCTTATTTACCATAATAACTGCATCCTGCGAGATGGAGGGTGAAATCGGGAGTAATACGGACGATCAGAGTCCTGACGGCGACTCAGACGAAATACCTTCAACCGCGTTCCCTGATAGGTCGAGTGGTGCAAGCCAACTATATAAGGGTCCAGCCTTATCTCAAAGTGAACAACGCATAGTCCGCAGACGACATCCAATTTCTCCTGCAGTTTTCTTAGTTTTTGGGTTAACAGTGTAGTTTTACAAGCAAATGCTTGGGAAGTCTATGCAAGAGCGCTGAATTACAAAAGAACCCGACATTGTACCCTCCAACATCAGCAGTCCAATTCCTGAATTCAGTACAAGTCTCTCCAGCGACCTGCTTTCTATATTTTGTTTAGTCAAACCACCCATGCGTGCGAGTAACCCACACTGTTCGTGAACCTAGACCTCACACAGTCCACTTCGGTGAAGTGCGTCAACAGAGATTGGGCAACAATAGGAGGACTTGCTACACAAGCAGCACACGGATAAAATATAGCGGAGCACAAATTCCGCACAACCCGAACAAACCATAGAACAGACGCACAAACATGATGGTGGTTATTTAAAGCAAACATGGAGCGAAACAAAGACCACTAAAAACGAAGGAAACTGACAACCCTGAGAAAAATTCGACATAAAATGACATTTAATTATTACCACATCTAAGTGACCACCGTCAACACCGGCCGTTTACAGTTCCATTATTAACTCAACAGGTCTTCCCACCGAAACGTGTCACCACTACCACATCTAACTGACTAATGTCTCTGTATGGTGCTCTGTCAGCTTACAGCTGTGAGAAATCCTGAGGCTCGGGTTGGCTGCCTGAAATTTCCAATGAGGCTGCCATATTCTCACTTACCTATTCATTGTCCCTTACCCTGGACATCAACCCCTCGTACCTGTAAAATATGGCGTTAGGCATTAGACTGATCACGCAGAACAAGTGTTTGCTCTTGTGCTGCAGTAGGTACGTTAGGAAATGGTTATCAAACTATCTTTCCGTAATACTAGTCTCGTGAACGACATTCCTTGAAAATTTCCACCGTTTCGACCATTCGGTCAACATAGAGTCATGGTTAGGGTCCACATTAAAGGCTGTTACCGTGAATCCGTCCCTCTTTCAATGAAGAACATTAATAGAATTGGACAAATTTTGCCTTTTTATAGTGACCGGTTGCCAAAAATGCCCTTATATGAATACTTCTTTTTGAGGAGACTTCTTTATGGCATCCTCCAGGTACCTCAGTGACTGGAAATGTCGCCCAAACACAATTTTGCGGAGATTTAGTTCAGCAAGGAGGCAGGCTCCATCGTTATTCGTATGAAGGTGTTCGAATAATCGCCTGATAATCCCCGTTACCATTTCACAAAAACCGCCAGTTGCTCACTCCAATAACACGGCCAGTGCGAAGAAGAATATTGGGTGAGTTAAACAGCCCATCGCGGGTAGTCAGGCAAACCAAAGACGAAGTAGGCGTAACTGCGACATCAAAGACGATAAGGGGAGCAATGTAAAGAAGCAAAGAAAACTAAAACTCGAGCAAGCAAGATATAGAAAGAGATAAAAAGGTCCGTAGAATGAGGGAGGAATGACTCATATATTGAGAGACATCACAGCGTATTATTCATGGTAAGTCACGTTAACCAAGTCCTCGACGCCTAAGCAATTGATCAATCGTGTCAGTCTTACCTGACTCTGAAAGTACCATAAGATATTAACCGAAACATATGATTAATCCCAGTAGTAAGTCTTATTGTAAACTTAACGCATACCAAGCCTTATCCTAACCCTAAACCTAACCACATTCCAGGTCCTAACCCCAACCCTAACCCCCAACCCTAGCCCCAATCCTAAACCCGACCATGGCCCTAATCGTAACCAAACCGTATGGCTAATACCAACAGTAACCTTCATCATGAGTTTGACTCCTTACGAACCCTAGCCCTAACTTCCATTTAACCCCACCCCGACACTCCCAATAACTCCAACGCTAATAAAGTTAGGTATTTGTGTGAATTTGCCGGTTTTATATGACAACAGACAAAGACACCGAAGTGGACCAGGAATATTCTAAAAATAAGGGATCTTAAGATTGTCTAAGTTCTGCGAATATTCCCATGTTACAATTGAGAAGTCAATTTGCAAACACGTGCTTTAGGCAACTCGTCATCAGGCCAAAAAAGTTACATAGAAGTGGAAAATATGCGAATTTACAGGATTGACAAATGATTCAGGGGTTATTTACCTCCTACGCATGGGAGGTAAGGACCGACTCCCGTTGCAGGCCAAATGAATGTGTATTTTATCATCCACCAGCTCCTGTGTAGCTGGATAAATTGGTCATACAACGAGGCGCCTGAAAAAAAGAGTACGCGAACACATACCGACCTGGCTATACAGAGGGGAAGATAAATCGATTTTGAGTTCTATTCTCGCACGTCTTGTGGAAACGTATCGCCGAGTGGATGCCAAAGAAGCAGTTCAGGTTGTCTACCGGACACTAGCAAACTGCTCTAGAGGCCCACGCCAACGGATGCTAACTACAGCCGAGGCAGTGGCTATACGGCTAGCAAATCCAGTGCTATATTGTCAGAAGACGTTAACACAGGCGCTCCGTCTTCTGTGGCCTACGCCGAACCCACATGATGATTGCACATCGCACCAACCTCCTGGTGGCAGTGGAGTGTGCTCAACGTACCCGACATACAAACATCACTCACAGCCAATGTCAACCCTCCCTCTTGCCCCCTTGACCCAATGACCATAACACTTCGACGGCGCCATGCGGGCTGGGTGGGAACGATGAGTGATTTGGAACGAATGTCAATAGCCCCTAATTCACTTATAATAATAATTTTTTATTAAAGACCCGTCGGGGTCCCATCGACCCTTGTAAATTCGCAGATTTTCCACTTCTTCGCAAATGTTCTGGCATGACGACGGGTTACCGAAAACACGTGTTTGCCAAATTGACTTTTCAATTCTATGAATGCTCGCGTAAAAATTAACCAATCACCGAAAAGGCGTTGGTGACTAATAGGAATCACATGGGCATCGGCTACCCTACAAGATTTCTCCCACGATTAGGACAAACTGTTCATCTCACGAAGAACCTGTTATATTCTCGTCCAACGAAGGTCTGAACGCGGGAGAACTAAAGTTGAGCATGACATGCGTATTTGTGATAGGAGAGAAGGAATAAACGATCGCCGGTTGGAGATTACTCGTTAGTAGCACACTACATCTAGGCGATATCGAGTATTTTGAAGTCAAATGCGTTCTTTTGGAAAAGTAAGAAACTTTATTCGTTAAATCCTCGGCGCCGGTTCCCCAGACTGTCGTTGGGCGTTGAGTGAAACTTCAAAACTGCTTAAGAGGCGCATACGTGTTCGGTGGTTGCCCCAGTAAGCGGCTGCCGTGCGGGTCATTATGTATCGATTGGCCCTCGCGTCCTCCATCTCTATTTGAGATATTTGCACATGACGTCTAACCCAATATGCCAGTTGATGGATGATTCATTTGGGCGTATGGCTTCAATAAGCTTCTAGCATTTTTGGTAGAACGAGCGCCGCCGATGCGAGTTTTGTCCCAACATAAGGTGCGCAAGGAATCTATGATGTGCGTGGCCACCTGGGATAGGTGGCCTCGCCTCTTAACTGCCAGTTGATGCTTGTGGATGTATGTAGAGGCGGATTATCCCGTTGGGTCACAGTATACAGCATCGCCGGCACCGCATGGGTCCTTTAGGCGACTTGTGAAGATAGCCAACCATATCCTTGGGGTGTACAAGCAGAATGCGTACATAATGAAGCACACAGTGTCCACTTACCGGCGCAAACACCGAAGAAGTATCGATCTTCTAAGCATGTTTGGAACGTTACCTGTTTTTGGCACATTTACTCCACGTCCAACGACGACCCGGGGAGCCAGCATCCAAAATTTACTTGGTGAATTTCCCCACTTTTCCCAGAGAATGCTTATGACTTCAAGTGATGTCGGGTGTATATGTATATTATGACAAATGGGCGGTCACCAATCAGGTTACGGAACATGCTCGTTCCGTTGTGTCTTGGGGCTCATGCTAGAACCCTCTTAGGCAGTCTCACAGCGACTAGTAGTGGACGTAATGAGAAAGTACCGACAACGACAAGGGAGACCGGGATGGCCATTTTTGGCTTATTAGCCGTCGTCAGCCAGTAGTACCCATATCGTGCGCCGCTGTGCGGCTGCTGATTGGGCCCGAGAGAGGGTCCGTAATGCACGACGGAACGGTGAGTTCTGTAAGAACGATCGATGAGTGTCCCTCTACCATTGTCCGGATTTTCATCTCTCTTTTTTCGCACCTTGGTCACGGACTGCGATTGCCTGTAGATATCCACCTTCCTCTAATTGCCGCCGAGGTCGTTAGTATGTGAGAATATACTCAAGCTCTCAAGGACAGGCTCGTCACGATTTACGGACCAGCTACCGGTAGTATCCGGACGGTACAACAGCATCAGTAAGCTTGCCACGATCGACACAGAGGCTGGCCAAACTACCATGTTGGTGATTTCGTGTTGTTGTTTAGGCCGCGACCACCCCCCGGAGGGGGGAGGTGAAAGCCGCCACCAAGTTTCTTCGACTTCAGCACGGCGCCTAGACCACCGTCTGGCAACACGTTCGTCCTCTGCGATCCTCAGAGGACTTAGGGCGACGTTTCCACCGCCCACTGTAGTCTCCTATTTGCCCCTCTTGATTTTCTTCCCGCGTTGCGCTGTCTGTCGAAGTACCTGCTTTGGACTCCCAGAAATGACAGTCCAGGAACACCGCGGACAGTGCTTTTTTGGAGGTGAGGACAGTGTAACGTTGCAATGACACATACTGAGGTTTTGAACGTAGCCCTCTCTCTTTTAAGCAAGTCATCGATAAACGCCCTGGCCGATCTGACTGAGACCGAGGCGGAAGGCCGGACCTTCAGAAGGAACTGAGAATAAGGGTGTGCGTGTAGTACGAATAGCAAGAGAGAATAAAGCATACTTTTACCAACTCGTCTTCTTTCTCCATGGCCTCTCATCCGGTTGTTGATGTTTGGTGCCTGCTTGCTGTTGTTAACTCTGACTGACCTCTAGCCTTCTTCGAGACATTCGTGGTTTTTCGGATACTGCTTTGGGTTACATTATTCGCACACGAGATTTCCATAGCTATAAATCCTGTATGTGTAAAATTTATACTTTAACTGGGTAACCGAAATAGATCTATGATAATGGACAACAATAATAAAGTGAGGAAAGTTTACCGGTAAGGATAATCTTTTTCCAAGGAGAGACTGCTCGGACCCCATCTGAATGGGAGTGCCATAGGGACAACATTAAGGAGACATTTAACATGACTCAGTCCCAAGAGGACCGAGTTATTCAGCCAGTTGGCAGTCTCCCAGGCCAAGTCTTTTAGCGCGTCGTGATAGGCCCAAGCGCGCCAGATTTTTGTGGTGATAAATGCGCTGAAGTGCTGTGCCATTAGGTCATTACAACTCGCCCTTCATGCAACGGCCTTCATCTAATTCATGCTAGTGTACATCATAGATTGACGTTGGTAGCGGGACAATGTTCCCTTGCACTATATTTTATTAAATACAATACATCACACTGCGACCAATACCAAGCTTCCTACTAACACTGCTTCTTCAATCCGATGCCTACTTTTGTTTCCAACAATTTGAAAGGGTAGCCTTTCCCCTCGGCCCTTTTAGATCTTTTAACTGGCCTCTGGTTTTTTATTTCTCGCCTCTCTTTCGGCGTTAGTTTGCTATTTTCCCAGTAATTCTTCTCGGTGATGGGCAGAGGCAATAGTTGAAAATATCAAGTGTGGACAGGCATTAATGCTCACAAATGGTGTGGTCGTCATGTCGCGCAATGTCCGTTCTGGCACGTGTACACTGCCGTACAGTTCCCCCTTTTTCGTAGCCTGGCTGCCGGGGTATTTTGAAGGACCCAATAATAAGTTTCCCGTCGTCGGCGCCATTCGAGGTTAAAAGATCCACGCGGTTTGCATTTATTAACGTTTCACAGTTCAAGTTTCATTAAAATAAGTTCCATAGCTAATAAATGGGGACACAGAGGGTGCCTACCACCGGTTATCCCTACGCATCCGGACTGGACCATTCATCGTAAGTCGTATCTGACTAGAAGCTAACGATCTGCTGAATCCCTCGGCGTAGCCGAGTAAGGATGCCCTGAGGCTGCCCAAGCTGGCGTCATTTCCGAATTTGGGCGAAAAGGCTTTTCTGAAAGAAAAACGCCATGCAGATTATTTTAGATCCCTCCAGCTGTGTTCTTATACAGACAGTTGTTCCGCCTTCCTCATTTTACTTGTCTGACTGGTCTAGACACTAAGTCTGTCTCAAGAGAAACTTTGTGATATTCTGAATCGATTTTCGTTGCTGTGCAATTCCCTTAGTCAGCCTTCATAAATCTTTCTGAGTACGTCTTTCTTTAAAAAAGGCATATTTTCGATTGGATTTAGAAAATGGGCAACATTCAGCGCAAGAAGACCAGTTCAGGCCGTCAAGTACGCATTTAGCGATAGCTGTATTTAACACAGAATTTCTCAAGCTAATGCCCGACGTCCGGCTTATCGGCAATTTTAACTTTTTGGGTTTTTGAGATTGTGCTTTTACTTTCGAACCTTATCTGGCTAACTGCGGTGCTGAAAATGCAAACTAACTAATCTCGGCATTCCAGACATTAGCTTATAATTTTTCGGCAGTCAGCTTTTCCTTCAGAAAACGCCGTGCGATGTGTGTTAGCATTCAGTGTTCTAACTTTTCGGATATATCCTTTTTTCGCTGTGGATTCTTGTAATTCTCGTGGCTACTTTTTTCTGCGTTTTCTCTCATTGGTAGCCCCCCCCAACCCAAATTAATTTCCTCAAACTATACAACTCGTGACGGTCCAGCATCCTCCGTTTGCATTGTCCTCTATTCCGCGAAGATATACCCAATAAAATTTCCTTGCATATTTGAACAGTTCTTCTACACTGGTTGTTTTGTTAAACTCTATTCACTGGCGAAGAAAAGTTTGCCTTGCCTATGAAGTACTTCAGAATACGGTTCAGCAGAAATGCTTTCGACCAGAAAACAGTAATCAAGCCTAAACGTTGTTTAGCATTGTAAAACATATTAAAGCCATTGTAAGAATTTGACAAATTAGTACTGACGTTTTCATCCTTTGCTTTCAGAAAATGGCTCCCAACGGGGAGGTCAGCTTAGATCACATCCGTAAGTGCCTTCTAATCTCTCTGGATGCGCTTACTTGCCTGCTCTCCTATAGGTCAGCTTCATGCAAAGCTCTATGAGTTCTTTAAGGCAGACCAGATGACCGATGTGACCATAACTTGTGCCGCCAACTCCGAGCCCGTGCGTGCGCACGCCTTCGTTTGCGCTACTTCCGGGTGCCTGGCTGACCTGCTCGCCGGCGCATCCGGTCCGCCCTACGTGATAGCATTGCCCACGGTAGATGCCGGCCGTCTGCGAGTCCTCCTTGACTTCCTCTATTCAATGTCCCTGGATCCTGATATTCCCCTAACTACCTACCTGGGACTGGGCTGTGAGCTCAAGGTGCCGCTTCTCCTCGAGGCCTGCCAGCACGTGCTGACTCAAAAGATTCAGACCTTTGGTTTTCGCATAGATTGTGCAGATGCAAGTACTGTCGCCGATGAGTTGAGGACGCTCTATCTTTTCATCCTCCGTAACTTCTCGAAAGGCAAACTACGCGAACAAGTGATCAGTCTGTTTGCTGCCCACCCGTTTGCCTTTACGTGTAGGTGCCATCCCCTTCCTCTACCCGCGTTTGCTTTAGCTGTGGAGTGTTTGCGCCTGATTCCGCCGAATGTGTTCACGAAGTTACTGGAGGAGGGCTGTTTGTTGATGTGTGATGCAGATGGTGTGGTGTCCCTGGGTCGTCGCTACGGTGAACAGTGTTCCAGGGTGAGTTCCACTGCATTTTACTGATTCATTAACTCCGTAGCTTATAGAGGTGTACTCGCAGGCGCACGAACTGGAGGCAAGTTCCCTTCGGACCGCCTTACAGTCGCTTCTGTACAGTGCTCAACGCCGGACTCCAATCAGCATTTGCCCTTTGTTGTGTAGGCTTATTTGCCGCAGTAATATAACCCACAGTTTTTAGCGCCAAGCGACGATGTTGTAGTCGATCGTGACCACTTTGGTCATCATAACCGCGGCGCTTACGAGTAGGTGTACACGTTTTTTTTTTAAAAAAACATGCAATGTTCTTAGGTACAGTTTATTTTCAAGCGGGACTGTTACCTACGAAAATTATCCTGCGCATTCCTGGAAAATTGGTGGCCTCCGCGCCTACGTAGCCGTCATTTGGGACAACGTTCGTCCTCTCGCGGGTACGACCAAAACCAAGTTTTGAATCACTTATATTTTCTGTCATTGGATCAGCAATGTTTCCGTCACACAGTGTTTTGGATAGTTCTCTTTAAATCTTCTTCGTAATCCGTTTAAATTGGTCTCATCTTAAGAAGTTGTTTCCTTACCATTGTTTTACTGGTCCTCATACGCATACTTATTTACGACCTTTTTCTGGTTGTATTGCGGTGAGAACTAGGCCTCGAGGGCAAATTCCTCAATACTTCTGGGACGTAAACATACGCAAAGTAAATGGACAGATCCGCGACAATCACCGGAAGATCTACCTTCTCAATAGTGTTTGTAGAATCCTCATCCGAGCACTACTCAATCGCCTAAATATTCACCGGGAGCAGGGTGTTTTGACCAACTTATTTGACACCTGGTGAAAGTAATGTGGCAATTTTTATGTCTCAAGCGATTAACGATGCGGGATAGGACGCGTGGCAGCCAACGGATCCACATCGCGAGCTTCCATCGAGGCAAACAGTCCGGACCAGGGCTGCTCCCTCCCTCCAGTCCTCTTGGGGTTCATGCTCTCCACATTAATGATTGGGCATGGACTTAAATGATTCAGTCGAGTGGAAACTATTTGGCATCCACCGTATTCAGACTGCCACAAAAGCCTAAAAGACCACGATACATGACCTACCGTTAGTGGACGACAGTGCCTTGGACATCATAGCTGAAGCGGACTTGCAATGAAGTCTGAACCCTTCCGCCTCTGGGTGTGCTCATTTCACGAATAAAATGTTGTTGTACACCAACTGGCGCCAATTGTCGAATGTACCGCAACGGTAGGCCAATCCCGCTGCCTGGACAGCACCATCCTGCGGTCAAAATCGATGACGAATTTCCGTCTGGATCTGCAACGCCAGTCAGACATTTTGCGGACTACAACACCGTCTAGGATCACTGCGGCATCTTCAACACAAAACTTGGCATGTACATGGTTGTCTTCTCGACAACTGCCCTAACATGTGGAGATCTAGATAATCCACTCAAATCCAAATACCTGACAGCAGTTCCGGACGCCTAGATGCTGAAGGATGCTGGCGCGCTGAGTATCTCTGCTGTGCTGAAGCGGATCTAACTACGATGGAGCGATGAATGATGCGCACATGCCGAACTGGCTCCTCTACATGAACGTCGTTGTGGGGGTTTTTAGGCAAGTTGGACAAAGACGACACTTCAAGGACATCTTGAAAACTCCCCTCAGGTACCTTCAAAATTGAGAGTTCCGGGAAAATGCTTGCACGGAACCGGCAGGTATTGCGAATAGCCATGAAAGCTGTCGCAGCCATCTTGGAAATCAACCGAACAAAGGAAGTCAAGGAGATACGGGCGAATGAGTAGAATGCCGCTGACCAATGCCGTTGACGGTGGGACTGACTTATGTGGTCGCCTAAACAGCTACATAAGAACAGGAACCGCCTGCAATACGGGTGACTCCAAACTCCAAACTCCAGCGATATCAAGGTTAGGGCTAGGTTAAGGATTAGGTTCAAGGCTAGATCCAAAGTTAACGGTAAGTTAAGTCAGGATCAACTGTAGGTTTAAGGTAAGGACAAGTGTTAAATGCAGAGTTGTGGTGAAGGCTAGGGTTAGGTTTAAGACCAGTACAACGGTTTATTTTTATATTAGGGTTATTGTTGGAGTTAGGACACGGGAATATTTTTGCCTTTCGGGAATTATGTTCAGGCCCACGTTTGTTACGTGGGCGGGGCGTCCCTATTCCCATGTCCTGTTTGGGGACCATATAAGTCAGTTCCACCCCGTCGATGTCCAGTCCCCAACGTCCAGAGCCCACGTTTGAAACCTGGACTGGCCGTTAAGAACTTATTCGGCTTGTCCTTAATGCCAAAACAATCTAACCTTCGCACAATCAAACCCCATTACCAGTATCATCATTAAGAACACCCCTCTGACCTGTTTCCACTGCAGGGCAGTTCCCCAATCCCCGTTTATGCTGGTCTGGAATCTTCCTAGTCGCAGTGGCAAGGCCACCAGGACTCCAAAGACACCCAACTCGGCAGTACTGGGTACGCAGTGCGATTACATTGGTCGGCTAACTGCGTATCCATGACAGGGGGACTGAAGATTTTATTAGGGGCCCCGGCCGACACCCGTCAATCACATTTTCCCTGTTGACACTGTACCCGCACGTTTGGTCACCGAATCTGGTCTTATGCGCACACAACAACCATCGGAACTATATCACCTGCCACTTAAGCCTGCGCCCTTTCTATACAGATAGTTAATGCTTGGAACTTTCCATCGTGTGCGTACGCGTACTACCTACTGCCAAAAACAACCCGACAGCGATGTTTTCCAACGTCGGTAATGATGAATGAACTGTTAGTCATGCTTGTGTGCGCACTTGTTTCATGCGGCAGGTGGGAGTTCTACAGTTCGCCAACTACTGCACCCATTTTCATCATCAGTCGATGATGCGACAATATTGAGATAACATTAAATTCTCCTGATCGGAGCCGGCTTTTTTGCCAACTCGCGCATCCAGCATGAACACTTGCAACTACTAACCGGGTATTTAAACGACGTCTATATGGCAAATCGGATCGACTACATTCTAGTCGGCGCAAGGTTCCGCAACTGGGCTCACGACAGCAGATCGATGCATGGTACCGAGAATGACAACGCTCATGAACCTAACCGTGTTCTCGTTCGAACACGCCGGAAAGTTCCCTCTTCATCTGCACCTAGATTGTCACGTTCAGGGCATCCTACTGTCAAAAAACTGCAGCAAATAGACGGCCGAGGCCCTGAGCACAGAAATTCGGTATTTTTTTAAAACCTGAGTCGAGGGAAAAGATAGTAGCTAATGGTGATAATTGAAGTCATTAATCTGTGGGGCAGCTGAGAACATTCTCAGATCAACGGGAGAGTCTTGCAGTTGTCTGCGCAGACGGATAGAGCGAGGATCCCTTCCGCCTACCCCGGAAGATGATGGAGAAGTCGACCGGAGATGACCTCAAGAAATATTAGGAGGCAATACTGACCTGCCTTGCTTAATTTCCGAGGAAATTAATGCGCGAACTTGGAGTAAATCCTTCGGAACAGACTTTTTCAGGTTCGGTCCGGAAGTTGATATGAATATTTGAGCTGAAATTCACCAGCCACTGCGAAATAACCGCGTAATATTCACAATCTGTCGACAGGCAGACCTCAGACATTGGTGACACTCGAAGACTACCAGATTATCCGCCAAACTGGTGGTAGCCCCTGTACTGACTGACTGCTATTTGAGTGGCGGTTTTATTGCGGACAGGTCGGCCGGGGTCGATGGCGCGAACACTTCCTGTGATTTTGCTTCATCTGACCTCTCTCGCCCCATTCTGTTTTCTGTTGAACCATAGGCATCCGCTCCCAAGTGACGTCTATCCTCTTATCCTACACAGGCTTGTGTCCTCCTAATGGCTGTTCGCTATGCAGGAAACGTATTGGACTTAAGATCATACATTCGGCTTTCTGAGTTGTTGTTCTTTAATTATTCTAGGTTTTGACGTGATCTACGAAAACATCTGGACTGGAGAGAGACAGGAAGTTCCCTGGACTGCCGATCGGGATGCCGAACAGTACACTAGGCAAGTTCTGTATTTCACGTATCCATCATACAGTACTGGTTCTTTGTGGGCCACCAATGTCTCCTAAGCCTCCTCGTATGCACCACATCGCATTTGGGGACTACATCCTCACAAAGTTAGTTTTTGCGTTACTTTTAGCATCTTACGCGGTTAGGACCTGTTACGCAGTCTGTTATCAATGACGTCGTTTGTCATTAATCGTCAGAGCCCCACTTGCGAGATATATCTACTTCAAGGAATACTTACTACTTACTTGTACTTGATACGGCTGCGATCATGCCGGATCTAGCCGGCCTCGATGACACCGATCCCTGCTGGAGGTGGAGAGAGTGCGTTAGATGCATCGCGAGTCTAAGATCACTATAAGTCATGTGCAAGTCACCGTCCCTGCTCGCGCACCCTGCAGTGGAGCACACGGTGGTCATAATCAAAATCGGCGGCCGAACTGTCACTACTGACTCCCTGTTGGCTGTTTACGAATATTACGCGGTTGACCCGCTGAAGCTGTTTGATTTCGGCTTAGTTATTCATATTGACCTTCAGACAGAGCCTGTGTAGCTCCATTTCAAAGGATTTGCCGCAAAAACCATCCAGGAACGTTTATAGATGAAAACAGCGGCCTTAAAGTGCAAAAAACGGCAAGGATTGACTAAAGTGGCATAGGATTGAGTCGAGACAACAACTTCCCAGAATGGCGCAAAAGGAATTAAATTGTTTGTTCGCAGCAACCATATGGAACGTGGGTAAGCAGAGAACTTTTAACCAAGGTGCCTGTAGAACGTTATGGTTTCCAGTAAAGGTCGTTTCGGCTAGATCGCAGTCGGTAGCCAGGAATGGGGAAGCGGACGGCGACCTTAGCCCCAATCCTAGCCTTAACCCTAACCTCATCCTCAAACGTTAACCGTTAACCTTAACGACAACCCTAACCGAAATCGTAAACGTAACCGTAGACCTTAGACATAGCCGTAACTGGAAAACCTAACCGTAATATTGAAACCTAATCGTACGCACAAACCCTAACCTTAACCCGAAAACCTTATCCTAAAGACATAACCCTAACCCGAAAATCGGAAACCATTAACCGGTACCCTAATCCTAACCGCAGTCGTAACGCGTAAGCCAAATGGCTCAGATGTGATTATGGACCTCACAAAATAGCCCTAGTAAACAAATTCTCCAGCCACCTGTAATACGGGGTCTGGCTACCAACTGCGATCTAGCCGTCGTTTCTTCTACCTGCCCATGTCTCACCTGCTTCATCGCGCCTCTTATGCCTGCTTCATTGCCTCTTATGCCCTTCCCCGCTCTCCTTTAGTGAATTTTTCAGCGTGCCTTCGGGTGATGTCATTGAGGATGTGCACATTCGTCACGGTTGGCTCATCGATCAGGTGACCTTTGTTACACGTGCAGGTGTGCATCTGGGCCCCTGTGGCCTGTCGATGGGCGGCGACGTGTCCGAACTCCGCATGAGGGACCGCTCCTCCTCCTCCTCCTCCTCCTCCTCCTCCTCCTCCTCCTCCTCCTCCTCTGTTTTACCCTCTCCCCGACACCAGCTTCTGTCTCGGTCTGATTCATACGGAGATTACAGTGATGACTCTGATTACTCAGCCGATTCCCCTGATGAGCAGGTGACCAACACCGGAGACTCAGAACAGGCTATTGGGTCAGAACCCAATGGTCCTGTGCTTACAGCCTTACATGGCTTCCAATACTCAACTATCGTCAGCCACGGTATGAAGTTCTGGAATTCCGTCCAGTTCTGTTACTCCTCAATCGACCCTCTTGCGGTTAGATCCAAGCTGCCAACCCTTCCCTCTTCTGCTATCCTTTCAGACGTCCATTTCTCCTTTTAGTACATTCCGAGTCCATTTACATTCCATCTGCAGTACTTTGTTACCTCATTTTGTCTTTAATCTGTCTCTGGCTTTTTTATCATTTGGGGAAAATTATACACATCACGGTCACTCTTCTTATATTGTCGTTCCCGTTCTGAATGGGATCTTTCGTTTTAGTAGCACTTTCCAATTTAGTGGTAAATTTACCTGACGAGGCCTTATATCCACATTGTTGGCGTATCCGTTGCGATAAGACTCTTGTTGTAGTAGATTATTGGATATGAACGAGGTCTTCCGGTGTGCATCGGTGATAGCGTGTAACGTTCTTAGGTGGGATATCTGGGTGCTGTAAGGGAAGGGGTCCTCATTGCTGTCTCGTTCAAAACCATTTTCAGTCCGCCTACTCTAACGACGTTTTTCATTCGTTTTACGGGCTTCCACGCACGCCTTTGGTGACGTTCGGTACTGACGTTTGCCTTTAAGTTGTTCAGCACTGTTACGAGAAAATTATTGGTACTCCTCTCGTATCATTACTGGTCGCTATGCTGCTGCCCGCAACGGCTCTAGAATGGGCTCCTTGCCGCGACGGAACGACCATTTGTCGTAACGCGATCGATGAGCGACCCACGCTACACGTATCAGGTCCAGCAATGCGATATATTCGCTCAACAACACTGATGAAACACACGTCCACCTTGTAGCGCGCCAATTCCCGAGTGACCTGTGTCGCCCTCTGTTCCGGCCGGTCGCTCCTCGGAGTGTCCAGAAGATAACGAACATTTCGGGCTGCCAGACTGCGTTGAATCGCCATAACAACCTGGGAGGCGGGACAGGTAATTGGGACGTGGATTGTTCTTGAATTGTTCCGACCACGGTCTGTGCGCAGATGACGTGATCCCAACATTTGTTTAGGGCACCTTTTCCACACCTTTCAACCGCGAGCGGATAAGTAGTGCTGTCCTTAAGTGGGACTGTCGAGATATCCCAGGCGGCTGCCGAACTCTACTACATAAGACCGGATCGCATAACCCGATTGCAATCGCCTCGGCTGTCGTTAGCGCACGTTGTGCCATTGGCTTGACGTAGTTGTGTGCGACCTTATGAATCATAAGGAAATACGTTTCGGGTTCCATACGATGCCTGGAATCAGAACAATATATGCACGGCTGCCGCCGTTAATACGCCTAACTTCGCCTTTTGACAGCCATGCCGGGAGGTGTTCACGTACTCTTCTACGTGGGCATCGACTCGTGCAGCCTATAATATTATCGATCGCAACCAACCGGACAGCCCACCCATGGCTCAATGCGAGGACGTTGGACCAAGCTTTAAAGTCGGCGGACGACCATCCCGGCCACGGCTCTCAATGAATCATGGGTTCTGAAGCGCATTTTGTTGTTTGCCATGAGGACTAAGTGCTGGAGTAGAGCTAGGTCAACCTCACCGTTTCTTTCCTCCTCCCCCCCCCTACACTAGTGGCTTCTCCGAATCAAACCGACTTATGATGCCTGCTTGGAACAGCTGTGATCACGCATGAAGATATCGAGGGTTGTGCCTTTCCGCTTGCAACGATCTAAGGCAGAGGATCTGGAGAGTTCTAACCGCTCTCTCCTCTGACGACGGAGGCGGAAAAATGAAAGGTCCAAGGACCACCTCCATGCTTATGTGTGCTAATGCAAAAACCACGAGTGGGTCACCACGCCCGCCAAATATACTTCCACCGGATGGGTTCGATCCGTTGGGCTTGTTCTCGAATCTGTAAAGGCGTCCTCGGGATGCTGCTACCCAGATAGTCCACCTGTGTGCTGTATGAGCTGAACACAAAATCGTCCGAAATGTCATGTCGTCCATGTATGCAAGGTGAACTCTCAGACTGTCAATGCCACTGAGAATACCAAATATAAGGATCGGAAACTCCAGATTGGCTCATTCTGGCACGGGTTTGCCCGTCCCCGCCGCCGGTTGTCATACCATTGCTTCGCCCTCTAAACAAGGCGCGGGGTGAGTGAGAGAGCGTAGCGCGCGCTGCGCAAGTCCGCCCCACCGTAGCTCGCGTGGTTTGGTCGTTGGTTGTACTCAAGCCTTACTCCTGCTGTTGTGCGTCCGAACCTCACCTAGTTATTCACTAATTAATAAACCGACATCGCTGTTGTTGACGTGGGCCCGAGTGCCTAACTTCAAGCAATCTAGGCCAAGCATGCACAGGATACCGGAAGCCGAGGATGTGATGCACGCTACACCGGACCTCACAATTGCGAAGTAGTGGCTAGTGATATTGGATCGTTGGAGCGGGAGATTCCGATGTGAACGACCCATGTTTGCAGTCAAAACAGATAAGTTGTATGAAACCGTAAAGGGGTCAGAACCGCGAACTAACAGACTTATTGTCAGGTCAAGAAACCAGGCGCGACAGAGTCAAGGATTACATTGGGGACGTTAGCAAGGACTATAACCCGTAATAACGAGCGACGAAGACCTATTTCAGGTGGGAGGGAAAGACTGCCAAACGTGAGGATGCGGAGCAGTTATCACCATAGAAAGACCAGGGTGGAGGCTGTGGCGGTCTACGGGGGATGGGGAATCACGCTGATCTGAGCCCCCGGGTTTCTGAGAAAAGATCGGAGTCAAGCTATGGTGGACGTAGAAAGTGTGACCAGGGCTAGAGGAAGCAACCGTCTCTTTCCTCTGGCTTGTCGGCTTGTATGAATTTGAATAAACATGGAGAACGCCGGTGGTTCCTGGCACAAAAGTTTGTATGATGTCAACAAGTACCGGCTGTTGGAGGGCGAGAAGGAGATCGGCCGAATGACCCCCGGAAGAGGCGTGCAAGCTGGAGCTCTAGGTAGGAAATGCCCTCCACCGTAGTCGCCATCGACGTCTAATTCTTCACAGCCGGCACCAGCGGGCTGAACAACGGTTGAAACCACCAAACGGCCATCGCGGCTAGCCGCCAGACTGCGAAAACTAAGGAACCAGCAGTCGAGGCGGTTTGGACCTCCGTGGACAGACGCTCTAAAGAAATCTCCTTGAGGAGCTTATCATCAACTTTTTAGTCACTACGGAGTGCAGTTCATTTGGTGTGACTACGACTCCATCTATTTGAAGGTAATAAAACGGCCGCCGCATCGCGAGTGGGCAATCACAGGGCAGATCGCTGAGTTTAAGAAGATTATATAAGAGAGTCAGTCCTCCGGTTCACGACTTTCACCAACCACAGAAGACTCAGATCCTTTGCAAAAACAGCATCAGTAAGGCGAATTTTAAGTCAGATAAATTGAAAATACCTGAGTGCACAAGGCAGAAAATTCGTCAGTAAGTCAGCTTACTTAACCGAAGACAGGAAAGAACGGGATATAAAACACCGGAGAGATATCGAAATATTACAAAGCATAGTGAAGGCTCGACAGGACATCCAGTGCGGGCGAGATGAGCATCTTCGATCTTATTGAGTCGGGGTCAATAGCGGAGTAGCAAAACCTGACATTGTTCCAGAGTACCATTCCCTGGTTGGCAATATTGACATATTCAAAGCCATGGAGGGCAACAAGCGTAGGAGTACGGTCTTGGGAGTGAGAGGATAAATCGGGAGAACTCAAGTTCCCATTATCATCCTCCGCTCTGTCGTAGACAGATTCTGACTCGGGGAAAGGATGGCTTCTCTGATCCGTGGACAAGTGGGGTGAAGGCGCGGTGTAGAGAGAAAAAGAATGGTAGTCTTTCATGGAGAGTTCAGCAACGTTTCCACCTCCTGACAGACCACAGGGGCCTAAGTGCACACCCGTACGTGTAACGAACGTGATCTGATCGATGAGCCAGCCGTGAAGAATGTGCACATTCTCAATGACGTCACCTGGAGGAACTCGGAATTCTTCCCTACAAAATAAGTTGGAAGTCATACAAACAGCGAGTAAACAACACAGACAACAGCAACACTATGAATACAAACAAATAAGCGAGTTCTAGGAAGCAGTTCAGAAGATGCGACCGCCGAAACGAAAAATTCATTGGCCTGGCGTCTGGGATTCCTACTCGAACCTATCGTCAACGACAAAATTCAACCGGTCCTAAATTTTAACGAGCGCTCTCGTAAGCGGAGGACTTGTCGGAGGCCGTCAGCATCCTTCTCACGCCACTCGGAGTTGGAGCTGCACACAGGCCGGAGGCAAGCATCGGACACCAGGCCGAATGACTCGATGCCACAGCCGGGAAGGTCCAGAATCGTTTCCCGGATCTGTAGTTGCGGAAAAAGCAACTACATCGGAGAAGCTGGAATATTACTCCCGACGCGAATGGCAGAGCATGCAGCAGCAATGAGCAGGAATGACGTTAGCTCCCAGATCGCGGCTCATTCGACTGGACCCAGTCACACTTTTGACGAGGCCGAAATTTTCGAAAAAGGTGACAACCGCGTGAGCCGCGTCTAGTCGGAGTAGAAAAGCATTACCGCCAAAGACAAGGCGGACTAGAATGGCCATTTCCGGCCTATTAGTCGTCATCAGCCAGTCATACCCAATCCCGAGGTGTGGAACACCTGGGGCCCGGTCCCATGACCTGCTGGTCAGAAGTCCAACGTCTCTAACCACTGGGCGAAGTAATTAGCCACACGGGGAGCGCACAGACTAACACTGTTCCCAACGCAAGAGTCGGTGGGCCAGATGGTCGGGCAGTCATCACACCAACATCCAACGCCCGTAATGAAATTGTGACGATTAACGACTCGAATGTCGACCCTCTAGCAATCATCACACCAAGTGCAAAAATCCCTGATGGAGGGAGACGTAAATTTTTATAGGTATGGGGTAGTATGGCGCGACTGCATCCTATAAATACTACAGCCCCTTGCGCATGAACTACCCGTATTTGCTATTGTCTCTGATGATGAGCTTGAGAAGGAATCCGAGACGTCAGGTGAATAAAGCTCTCGTAACGGCGATCGTGACTCCTTCACGGGTGCTTAAGGGGACTCGTTTCATCGCTTCTATAGGCAATCGTCATATCAAACACAAACCCCAGCGATG